TATACATGAAAAAGAATGTTTTTTAATGTTTCTCTTCTTTGTGTATTTTGATATTGTGATCTTTTAATATTTTGAAATACTTCTATTCAATTTTAATAACTATTTTGTCTACACCTTTTGTATATTTCTTCTTTTGTTTTAAAGAAATCTTAGGAAGATCTTTTATCCACAGTTATTTTTTCTATATTTTATTCTTCTTATCGACTGTCCAATTTTTTTCCTTTTCTTACATGTATTTTCACTTTTCTATTTCTGACAAATTAAAAACTTCATTATGGTCTTTTCTGCGCTGATACTTTTTCACATTATTTCTTTTCATTCATTTTCCTCTTGCCCTTTTTTCTGTTTTTTTATATGTCCTTCACTTTAAGTTCTTCTACTTCTTTATTCAATTTTTCTATTTCCCTATTTTCTACTGGAACATTTTTTCCATAATTAGTTAGTCGTAAGACTAATTAAATTTCCAGTGAATTATTGCTATTTTATAAATAGCATTATTTTCTTGTACACCATTATTTGAACAATTCTATGTAATATAGATTGGATCCCTATGGTTTAGCCGGGCAATGGCTCACCGATGTATTAAACTGTTCGGTGTACACTTACGAGGTGGCACCGGTTTTAACATTAATGGAGAAGACTGTAATTACGAAGTTGCTGAGTATGTTTTATAAGGAAGAAAACGGTGATACAATTGGAGACGGTCTTTTTAGTCCAGGTGGTTCTTTCTCTAATGGCATCGCTATTAATTTAGCACGATTTTGGTTTAGAAAGACAACGCGAAGTGTAAGTACTTTGTGCGAAAGTTATTTCGACACGACTTAAAAATCACATTAATCAAGAAAGAATTTTAAACATATTTAATTTCATTATTATATAATAATTGTTGATATCTTAGTATATAAGGTGTCAGAGAAAGAATTTCAACAAAAAAGTTTTAATACAATTTGTTTCATTTTTGTTTAGTAATTCAATAATGATTTATTGAAATATGAAGCCAAAGTTTTGAAACCATTCGGTAACTATTCAATATTCGGGAAAAGTGTTTTAAATCGAACTTACTCCATTTCGAAAGTGATATTTTGAACAGTCCAGAACATAAATGTTGTCCAAGTAAAGATGCTTTCAAAATCTCAAAGCGGCGTTTGTTGCTTATAAATGGCATCGCCCATTGTTTTTTAGTTAAACGCATATCCATTGTGGAATGAGTTCATTGATCTGAAATATATGACTCTTCCAAGATCATTCAAAGATATTTACGATTGAGTGATGTCTAGCCGTTCTGAGTGCTTAGACAATGTACCTTTTGTATTCGAAAAGACTTCGGGTATCAATACATTATTCTCTTTCTGGATAAAAATGGCATTACTTGTAGTATATGCATCACATTTGTGACAATGTCAACAAATGTTTGTGATGAGATTAATATACGTATTGGAAATGGAAATTTCAAGTGCTCATAAATGCTTTAGTTTCATGTCAATTGTTTCGAAACTTGAAAAATGTAGCTAAGTCGAGAACAAAATATTATTTTCATAAAAATTAAATGAAAAAAATAGTATTCAAATTTTAATTTACCCTAGTGTTTCATGTCTTAAATATGATATATACATATTGGTATGTTTACATTTATATTAATGTTAATCTTAATTTTAGAGTACACGTATATCATCTTCGAATTTAGTGCTCTTCACATCCGAAGATGCGCATTATTCGGTTTCGAAATGGGGTAACTTATGCGATGTAGAAGTTATTCTTATAAAAACCGATAGTTATGGTAGAATGGACATTAACGATTTGAGGGCCAATATAATTCAAGAACAAAAGAAAGGAAATTATCCTTTTTCTGTTTCTGCCACAGCGGGTAAGTTAAAGAACAGTACGAATTGTTATGCTGACGTAAAAGATAC